GTTAGTTGAAAACTATAAATTCTTTTGCTTAAAAGCTAGATGAAGAAGATTAGAAAAGATAATAATTTTGACAGACTATAAATACTATTCAGTAATATATTAAAGAATTTAGTTATAGGGTTTTTTTGATATAGTGATAAACTTTACTATAGCAAATTGAACATGGATAATTTGGACATTTTGGTATCACAAAGAGCTGGGTTAACAAATACTTGTAAAATTAGATAAACTTTAGATAACTTGAGTTAAAAGTGCATTTTTACCTATCCCTTAATTGGTAGAGATTTGCAGGCAAATTTGCCTGCATAATTACTGCCTTTATATATGAAATTTTGGTGAATAGGTGGAGATAATAAAAGTTCAAGCCTTTTATAATGAAGCTATTAGTTGCAAAACAACTAGAGAACAATAAAGAATAGGCTTTTTTTAAGCCACACTTCTTTTTTTTGACCAAGTGGTTTTACTATTCTTTTTTGCTTCTTTGCTTTTCTTTCAAAATTTTTCAACAAAAAAGTAAAGATTTGACTTACCCTCTACAAAAGATCAGCATTGTTTATCTCCCAAATTCAGATAGTCTAGTAGAATACAACCATGTGTTTGTTATGAACAGATATAGCATTACTTCACAAAACTCAGCTTGGAAACTTTAATTATAGCAGCAGATGGCTTAAAATATAGATTCTCAGACAGCAGCAGCACCTGGCTCGAAATACGAATTGGAATGGGCAATGGAGCTATTTGAAGTTGGTAGAGAGTTGAAAAGTAAACTTTAACATTAAGACGAAGCTTTACAAGAGAGATATACAAATGTTGCATTTGTTATATAATTTTTACTAACTATACATGAGTTATAATAGTGTCTTTAAAGTCTTAGATTTCTTTTTATATTTTTTTCTTTTTCAGAATTTGTGTTTTTTTTTTCTTTTCTTTGTTTGGTTTTCTTTTTTAGTCATTTTCATAGTTTTTTAGTTTAAACTTTTCTCCTTTTGTCTCATACTCCTTGAGAAAAAAGAAGAATTTGAAAGAAAAAGAGATTCTGAGATGGGAGCTAAGCCTAGGCTAAACTATATGTTTAAGTGCACCGTGCTATATATAGAATATAGTGGCTAATATCAGTACAATAACCAAGATTGGGTATCTTTAGAAAATAGCTAGCCTTTGTCTAATTACCTTATTAAATTGCCTAAGCATGTATTTGTGATAAAGTATCAAAAATTTAATAAACCTTTTAATATACAGTTATTAAAAGGAAAAAATATATATATATATAGAGTTTTACTCTAATCTTGATAAAGCTTTGTTAAAATTTTTTTTTTTTTAACTTTGACGATTTTGTTATTAACTTTATTACTTATTTAAGCGAACATTACATATATTTACATATACTTTTAACCTATCTAAGTAGTTGTTATGATCTCACCCGACTACTCTATATGGTGCCCAAATGCAACTGTCTGCACCATCTCATATATGAGATAGACATCCTTGGGTACCTCTATCAAGAAGCACCCTAAGTTCTGACCTAACTCAGAACCTTAATGTATTTTACTAATTCATATATACCCTGCTATATATACTACTATACAACGTCTACCAGTTATAATCCACCCCTTAATACTTATCATATTACTCCTAATTTGTTTCTTGTATAACTTCCAAATTGGCATCCTAGGAGTGGGTACTCTTCATATTTCCAGTTTGGTGTTTTTCGAGATGTTATTTCAGTTCCTAATCCATATCTCAAGCCAGGTGCTGCCGCCGTCCGAAGACCCGTATCTCAAGCCACCTGCTACCACCATTAAGAGAGCTGTTTGCATAGTTCCAGGTATTCACATCATACACCACCAAATTAGGCTACCGCTCCATTTATAGTACTCCCTATCGATATGGTATTACAGAAGTCTAGATCCTTAGAACAGGAGTTAAGTACCTTATTTAATTACTATTACAAGCTAGTAACCCGGGACCCGCACTTCTGTTATGTTTTGTCATGCTTCCACGACTCCCATATAGGTTGTGCGACACATTACTCACTAGCTGACTTTATTTTGTACCACTGGAGCATTTGCTTCCATGCTTTGGGATTTCTTTTAACCGGTTTTCCTTGTTTCCTTGTACCAGAGGTGTTCTATATTTGGTAAAGCCATTCTCTTACTACAGCCCCTTACTATGTTCACTGCTTCTCTCACCACTTCTGGATATATTGTATATAGCCGTCCTCCCAATCAAAATCCCAATGCCGCCTTAGGGTTGTTGGTGCTACCTTGCTAATCGTGGATTCACACGCACAGCTTTCTGCAATATTATCTTCTGTGACCCATGTCACACGTAGTGCCTGATCTTCTCCATGGCTCGGGACTCCTTTCAAGAATTTTTTATTAGCCAAATATATACTTCACATAGTCTTACCGCCACAAGGTTTTGCATTCAAAAGCCCCCCGAAGGTTACAGAAATAATTAATTAAATTAATTACCACTAGCTGTAATTAAACTGTCGACCTCGTCTGTGGAGGGTTAGACGCCTAGACCACTAGGCTACGGGACTCTAACTCTATTAAAATTTTAATTTGATACAAATTTTAATTTGATATTTAACATTATCCCTTAAACCGTCTATTTTAGTAGGCAAATTTGCCTGCTAGAATTTTTAACAAATTTATAAAAATTGGTTCTGATTTATTTTTATCAAAAATCAAGTTATTTTAAAAATATTTTTTTAAATATCAACTATGAATATAGATTATATTTTAATAAATTTAATTTTTATATTTTTACAAAAAAAATTTAAGTTGGCTATAGACTAAAAAAAATCAAAATTTTTAAAAATTTTTAATTTTTATTTGATCATTGACAAACTTTTAAAAATTTTAAGAATAGGTACCCAATAATTTTGATACAAATGATAGATTAAGTTATTATAAACAACTTTTATTATAAAAGTTTTTATAATTTTATAATTAAAATTTTAACTTTTACCCTAATGATCATCTGGACCAGAATTTCCTACTAAAGAAAAACAAAAATCTTGTTGGAGAGTTGTGGCCTAATGTGTAGTTTGCCTAGAGATTAATAGTTTTTCTTTTCTGGGACTCCTTTATAAGCTGTGCGTTTGGCATGCAAGCCAAGAGCGTTGATATACAAGATAACTGGCAGGAGGTAAGTGCTCTTGGATACAAAATCTTAGTGAAGAGACTGAGTCTTCTCCGTCAACGAAGCACTTAGGCTATTACTTTGAAATGAGAAATATAGGAGAAACAACAAGTATTTGCCTTTCTTTAAGCCGCACTCTTTTACTTGGCCAGATAGTTCCTTTTTTTTTCTTCTACTCGCCCTCCCGTCGGTCTTCCAAAAATTTTGACAAAAAGTGGGATTTGGTTTACCCTCTCCAAATGATCGGCATAAATTATACAGTGTTTATATTTCTATATCCGGTTGACATGGTGGACGGCAATTACGTGTCTGGCATAAGCAGACATGGTACTACCAGTTTTGGCTCAGAGCCGCTGGAAACTGAAGAGTCGGTGTGGGACGATGACAGTACCTAATTAGAAGAACCTGGGCAAAGACTTCCAGAGATAGTAGGGTCAGAGAGGAATTAATAGTATAGGTGAAGCCGTACAATAGAGATATGCAGTATTGCTATAAGCATATAATTTTTATACTTGCCTGGCACAGATTATAATAGTGTATTTTTCTTTTTTCTTGTCGGGATCGCTGACTTTTCTTTTTTACTTTTTTTGCTGGTCTATTTATGATGGAATTATATTTAGAATAGTTTCTTTCTGTGGTTTTTGGTTTTATTTTCCTTTCATTCTTCTAAATGTTTTTGGTCTTTCATAAACATGGTATATATGATCTTGCTTATAGAAGAGTAAGAGATAGTTATTCTGCCCGTATTTTGGTGGAAAAAGTTGGAAGAAAGGTTGGTGATCCTGATGAGGTATACAACAGCCAGTCCGTAATCGAGGAGGGTATTCTTTGGGATATGAAATCGTAAATAAGTTCATGATCCCCGAGTAGACAAACAGTTGGTATAGCAGGTCGCATTGGGCATTTATGCTTGGTGAGTCTTTATTATGTTAGAGCAATAAATTGTAAAAATTTTGTACACTTGGGTGTAAAAATTATATAACAGTTTACATGAATAAAGGCAGGATCGTTTAAAAAAAAAAAAAATTTTTAACTTTTATTAATAGAGAAAAACTTTTTTTTCTTTAAAAACATATAAAAATTTTAAAATTTTTAAAAATTTTTAAAAAAATTTTATAATAAAATTAAAGAATTGGCTATATTTAAACCAATTTTTCTTTTATATATAAATATATATAATTAAAATTTTAATAAATATCAATTAACAATATATCAAATTTTTATTTTAGCTTAGTAATAGGGATACTCATCCTTAATAAAATTTTTAGTAATTTTAAAAAAACATGTTCAAAAAATTCTAGCAGGCAAATTTGGCTACTGGATAGTTTAAGGAATAAGAAATCTACAAGATAATAACATAATTGTTAGATCTTGCTATCATTATAAAATTTACTTAAAAAGAATAAATTAAAGACAAAAGTAAATAATACTAATAAATTTTAAAAGTTTTTTATTAAATTCTATCAATTAGTTGGTGAGAAATTATTGTTCATAGTTTAGAAAATTTTTTAGTATAGTTACAGTATTTTCTTAAGAGGTAGTAAACTTTTTTTAAAATTTAAATAAAATTTTTTCAACAAATACTTGTTAAAATTCGATAAAATTTTTTAAAATAAATTCTATTAATTTATAAGTACTATTTAAAAAAATTTTTATTGAATTTTACTAAATAGTTGTTAAGAAATTTTTATTTTAAGTTTAGAAATTTTTTGTAGAATATTGCTAACTATAACCGGCGGTAATAATTACCGCATCACGTGATAATACAATAATAATAGTGGTGATAATCACTGCATCACGTGATAATACATACTTATTTCCTAATTATGGGTGTCGTCACTTTTTTATACTTAACTGCAGACCTCACTAAGGCATGTTTTGACTGAAGACGCTCCATGTAGCACTAACTATATATTAATTGATACATTAAAAAAAATGTGAAGACTGCAAGTGCCGGGCATGGTGCTATGTTTTAATGGCACCATGTCTGGTACTTGCAAAACTCTAAGAAAACTTTCAAGATGCTAATTAAAATATTATTTGGAAATACACATGCTAAATACCAACCTTAAATTCATGTAAAATAATTCTCAAATCTGCAAAAAGAATTAAATTGCCAATATGTATGTGATAAGCCATACAGATACTTAATAGAAGTACCACATATATACGTATATTATATAACTGATAATACTCTAGACTTCTAAATATGCTGTAAGAACGAAGCTATGACTCAACTAGATTAAAAGTAATAATTATACTAAATAATAAATGTTATTATTTAATACTGATACAAGACAGTCCTAATACTGTATGTATTATCAACCTAAACTAGGGATGTTAAAAAATTCGTCTAGTTCAGTCCTGGTCCGGTCCTTGAAAAGTCTGGTCTTGAACTAGTTAGAAACTAGTTCATAACCCCTGCCCGAAACCGGTCCAACTCCAGTGGTTTAATATACAATATTGATATTTTGTACTGTATTATGCAAAAAAAAAAAAAACCAATCACCAAGACAACCAATCAGAATATCTAATTTAATTAAAGAAATTTATACTTACTTAAATTATGGCAATTAAAAGTATTGTTCTTGATTTAAGTTTGATTGAATTTCATCAAAATGACATTCAATTTATATCATGTGATTATCTGGATTAGTTTCGGACTAGTTCTGGACGGTCCCTAAAAAGTCCAGTCCAGAACCGGTCCGGAATCAGCCCCCTGCGGACCACTTAATATCCCTAAAACTAATAGTGAAATATAAATTCAATATACATATCAGATATGTACGTACGTACATTGTTGGGTTTTAAAAAGGTCCCTGAGCCAAAACCATGGTTCAGTTTTTTTTTATATTTTATTTAATTATCTGTTTTAGTTTAGTGGGGCTTGAAGGAAAAAGGGATGTGGCTTGTCACCAGATTAGGAAATTAACTAAGGAAATTGAAGCGTATACACTGTAGGCTATGTGAATATGATAATCAAAGCGTATATACTATCGGCTATGTGTTGAGTTGGCTGAGGAAAATTGGAGCGTATACGCGATATTATATAGAATGTATACGCTTTAGATAGTAAAGCATATACACAACGTTAGTAAAGCGTATACGCTATGAGGCTTTATAAATAAAAAGTAGTGAAATTATTCCCTATAAAAATAAAATGTATAAATAGAAGTCCTCTTAGCCTTCCCAGAGAGTTAGTTATTGATTGTTATAAATAAAAATCTTATTAAATAAATCATTATTACTTTGTAATTAAACGTCTTTCAATTGCCCTTAGTATATTAAAACTACCCTAAATTCGCTAAATAACTAATCGATTCCTCACCACATTTGTTAATTAATGAATAAGCCTATACGCTGGGTCTCTTATTTAACATAAAGGAAGTAAGCATTAAGGCCGAATAGACCTTTTCCTGAGTAATTAAGAGCCGTATAGTGGATAATTGATATATTGATGTACTAACACAGACCAAGTTCGTCTTGTGTTAAATTATTATTAATAGATTGATCAATGTTTAGATCACTATTAAGTTATTTTAATTTATTTTTAAGTTATTGATTTTATTATAGTACGTTTAAGAGAATATCATTTTCTTATTATTATTAAATTAAGTTATCCTGATCCGCCCTTACAGCATTACCCTGTCTGATTAACCACCATTATCATTATTATAAACATACTAACGTCCCCTATAGTTATACTTACTCTAATTAATAGTAAATTAGATTATTATAACCTGTACCACATTATCTATTGGAGCTAAACCATGCAACAATATCTGCTCTTCCAATTTACAATAGTAACAACGTACGTATAAAATATAGATCGACAACTAATTTGGTACTAAATACCAGTATATATATATAATTAATTTCTATACTAACTATGAACTATATATGTTACGTATAAGCAGGAACTATTGTAAAGTTGGATTGGAATTTACTTATATTAAACCATATAACTACACAAAATCTAACCCTCACTCTACCTCTAGCCTTAATAATTACAAATCAACTTAAAATTTCATTTCTTAGCTAAATTCAAACCAACATATTACGTACATATGTACATACATCGTACCAACACAATATTCACGTGACATTATTGCCTTTAATATAAATTTTACATTTACAATTTAATGCTATATAATATTGTTCTATATATACGTATTATAAACAATACATATTGTATAAAGGCCATTATTGTATATAATGCATAAGCATACTATAAGACAACAAAACCAAATTGCTACATAATTCAATTCACTCTTGAAATTTACATTTTCAGATATTATGTCCAGATTTGCCACATGCTTTATATACATATTTACGCTTGACTACATTTTCATCCACGATAAATGATTTATCAGAATCAGACACATCATCACCATTCTCATCAGTATCATCCTCATCAGTTTTTTCTTGAATATGAATATCATTGCTATTAAGAGTGCGAAGAGGATTTCTAAATACATATCGTTGTTGCATCGGTTGTGTACGTACATTTGTATCTTCATAATCAGATACATTTAATAAAACATTATCAGAGTTATTTTGGTTAGCCTTTTTCTCTGATACTAATTTTGGTAGACGTCCACGTCGTTTCTAAACAAAAAGATCAGAGACATAAGTATTTGTTTGATTTTCATTATTTGCAACTCTAGATGTCAAATTGGGATCGGGTGGGTTGATTGCGCTGTTTCCAAAGCTACTGTGATGTGACTTCTCTGTTGCTGATTTAATACGTTTATTTGGTCGACATCCACGTCGTTTTTGAACCAAGGGATCTAAGACGCATAAATTTTCCTCATTGCTTGTACTTTCTATGCTACTTTTTTTACGAGTAATAAAGTTGCTTATCATATCGAGAAATTCATCTTCACATTTTAAATCTAGAGCCAAATTAAGGGCTTTCTTAACCTTTCCGAATCCTTGGACGTATCTAACTTCTCTTCGCACTTGTTTTTTTATTTCACTTGTAAATGCACATTGTGGTCTGAAATTTTTAAATAAGTGTAAATCATTCATCATTTCTACATTATTGTTTTGCTGAAATTGTGTTAATACATCTACAGTTTCTTGTAATTTTAATTGATCATCTTGATCTTGAATGTCTTCTAGATACCATCTTTTCGCAATCAGACCAATATTAAACTTGGCATTCTTTGAAGTCATCATAATCTGAAAAAAATGTGCACATACAAGTCCATGATTGATTATAGACAAACAAGTGCATATATGTCCACCATCATTTAAACAAATAACATAATGCTTATACGACTTCGTAATTTCGAAGAGCTCCCAGACTTCTACAATATCAGATGGTTGTATATCAACTAAAAGAGAATAGAGAGACGTTTGAGGTTTATCAAGTTGATCTTCAAGGAAGCCATCGTCATAATCCAACTGGTTAAGATCTTTCTCTATAAGACTAGCTGATTCTTTAGAAATCAAAGTTGCACGATATAATAAAGATCCTTCAATTTGTTGTTTTTGAACAGATAAAATATAAGAAGGTAGGTATTTCTTAATTAGCTCAAACACCTAAATATTATACATAGACATGCAACAAATAATATAATGTAAGATCCACTATACAGTATAATGATTCGGTATTATATAAAAGAAAAAAAAAAGTAATAGAAAAGTTATAACCTCATGAAATATTAGTTCAATGACTGAAAGTGCTTGATTGCTCGGGAGACTTTGAAAGTATGTATTATAACGAGCCCACTGACCTTTATTGTCTAATAACTGTTGAACTTAATCATGCAAATTGCATAACGAAGAAGTGCTATTGGCACCTTCTTTAATTAGCTTGTTCATTACTTTAACTCTTTGTGTACTTTGAATTCCGGCTGTAAAAAATCTGATTTGAAAGCACTTCGCCCACTTTCTATAGCAATTGTGTAAGGTATGATTAAGATACTCTTGGGATTGAGGGTATTGTTCAAGTAGACAAGCCCAACAACGTTGAAAGTCATTTTTGTATAAGCTGTTCTGGGCATACAAGAATTTTTTATAAAAAGGCTCAAAATTTTGACCCAGTTTACTTCGTAAATTTTTTTTTAGATTCTCTTGGATATGAAACATACAAAGAAAATGGTGAGTAGTAGGCATTATTAATGATATTGCATTTATTAGTGCTGGCTCAGCATCCGAAAAAATACAGATTGGTGGATTATTATTAGTTGCTTGTAGAACGCAATTAAGATACCATTCATAACTCTCAGTCATCTCGTCTTCTAACAAACATTGTGCAACAAGCCTGCTTTTGGTATTATTATCCACAACAACTAATAAAGCCAAATACATATCGAACCAATTGGTTCGACATGTATTATCTGTTTGCATCACACTGTTATAACGTATAAGGCATTGACGTTGAATAGGTGACATCCAAAATAAACCAACAAGTTAGTTATCAAACGGGTCAAGCCTTGTATTAATAATCCAACTAGGCTCTTGGTTTTTCAACATTAACAATTTATTAATTATATGCTGTGCATCACCCTGACGTTGGGTATAAGGTGCTTTAAATTTTTGAATAGCATTATAAAGGTCCTTCTTGCAGATAAACTGTTCTGGAAAACCTGCTACCAATAAAGGATATATCTGTTTCGAACCTATATTTCCTTTAGTTACATAAAACTTGATTTTTTTTATTATTTCATTTGATAATTTGCGACACTTAGGATCATATAAAGCTGTATCAGGCAACAAATCATGATTATGCTGATTAACAAGACTAGTGACTCTTATTTCTGGTGATAATTTCGTCATGTTAAGGTTTATATACCATTGGCATTTGATTTTTCTAGATAACCGATTACGTTGATGACTTGAATCAACTACTTTATTAGATACTGGTTCACCAGCAAAACCATATTCAAATGTTCGACGACATATGATTCCAACATTGTTAACTTCAAAACGCTTACGACGTAAAGGAAATCTCATCAATTTTGCATACTTTTCAAGATATGATTCAGCCAATTCCCATAAAAGAAAAAAATTCCCAACATTAATAGTAAGGTTCTCTGTAACGTTAATATTTTCATTTTGAACTATATTTTCCTCAACATCTATGGTGTTATCTTGAACAGTAGCTAGACGTTCCTCTTCAATATTTATAGGATCATCGTAAATAGTAGTTAGACGTTCAACATCTATATTTAAATCACCTTGAATAGCATTTATGTGGTTTCCTTCAATTGTTAAAAAGTTGTCTAAAATGGTATTTGAGTGATTTGCTTCAGCAATTATATTGTTATAAATGGTATTCATGCTTATAAGGTCATCCCAATTGTAAGTTTGTTGGTTGTTTGCAACGTTTACATCCATCCAAAGGTCTTCATGACCATAAATTTGTTGGTTGTTTGTACCCACCCAGATAGCAGCCAAGTTATCTCCATCACCATACTCTGCGAAAGAAATATTGGTTTGAAACTCTTCCAAAAAGGTAACTGGTTGGTCTCCTTATTTATTATAAACTTAGTTGCGTTTTTTAGTCTTTATGAGTGTTAACAAAAATTTTAATATATAAGCGACATTAAATATGCAAACTAATCTTCCATTACTTCAGATTATTGAAAGGCTTGTATTATATCACGTTTAGTTTTTTCTTTTGTTGCACAGGTGAACTTCATTAATTTCAAACGATCACAAGTTAACTTTCAACTAGAATGAAAAGAAAAAGAGAGCAGATCATTTTTCTAATCACGTTTTTTTTTCCTTTTATTCAGGTATGTTTCGATTACATCATATTTCGTTACGATATATTGGTAAACAATTAAATTCCTACCCCGCATATAAACAATAACGCAAGTCAATGATCGATTAAATGCAGCATAATATTTAATAGCGGTGATGATCACCGCCATGGCATAATATTTAATAGTGGTGACGATCACCGCCGGTTCTATTTAGTTTAACTCAATTTTAATTGTTTTATTATCTAATAAATATTCTCAAATTTGATTAGTTAATATATTAAAAATGCATTTAAAGAGAATATTTTTATATATAAGGTAAAAAGGGATAATTTGATGAATTAAACAGAATTAGCTATATCTTGTAATCTCTTGATTGGATCCAGATGATTTTTACACCATTCGAATCCTCTCTTCAAAAGGATTCAAATAGTGTAAAAATTATTCAAATCTGATTACAAGATCACAAAATACATCAATTTTTCATAATACTTTTAGCTATAATACATATATGTGTTTCATTCTAAATTATATCACAAAGTATAAAAGGTCAATTTTAGTATGTGAATGGGTTTCGTATGACAAAAATAAGCTAAGATATTACTACAACATCTTTTTGTAATAATAAATACCAGCAAATTTTCACACGTTCATTAATTTAAATTTGTATATTATAGTAGTTAGTTTTCAATTTCAATTTTTATCTCATTATTATTTGAAAGCATTAAGACAAATATGCAACCAGCATATATTAAAAGAGGTAAAAAAATTCATGCTGCACTTAAAAAATTAGATGACAACTTTACTGGGTCCAAGCCTTCAAGTATTAATAGCTTGGCAAAAGACTTTGGTCTTTCGAAGGCTACTCTGTAGCGAGCAGTTAAAAATAGTAATCCTTCTCAACGTCCAGGTGCACCCAACATTCTTACTAGTCATAAAGAAAACCAGCTCATTGGTTATTGCATTAATATGCAATAACTCGGGTTTGGTTTAACAAAAAGTGAGTTAATCATTATATACTAGAAATCTTGCGATTAAATAAGCGATCATATCCTTTTGGAGAAAATGAGCCAGGTCAAGACTGGTAGGAATATTTTATAAGGGACCAGCCAGAATTATCATTTCGTGTTCTTCAAAATTTATCACAGGCACGAGCACAAAAAGCAAATAAAACTATAGTAGATGACTATTTTAAAAAACTTAAACAAATTATTAATTAAAATTTCTTTGTAGCAGCACAAATATGAAACATGGATGAAACTGGGTTTGTTCTAGTATCTAAATTAGAAAAGGTCTTAGCAAAAAAAGGCTCAAGACAAGTTCATAAAATTATGCAAGGAAATTCTCATAAGCATATTTTAGTTGCACCTACAATTTTTGCTGCTAGATTTTATATTCCACCTTTAGTCATTTATAAAGGTATTCGTACGATTCCTGGTTTACTTGAAGGTGCATTACCAGGAACTGTAATAGGTTTTACAAGTACAGGATATATGCATGAAGAACTTTTTCAAATGTATTTTAATTATTTTATTAATTTAATACCTTCAACTCAACCAGTATTATTAATGTTAGATGGTTATAAAAATCATATTAGTTATACAATTGTTAATGTTTATTACAACAATGGCATCTTTCTTTATGCACTTCCACCACATACTATCCATATCTTGCAGCTATCAGAAATTTCTTTCACAAAGCTAAAACAAAAATACAATAAAGCTTGTAAAAAATATAGCAATAAAACTAATGGAATGATAGTGACAAAATGAACCTTCGCAAGAGTTTTGGTTCTGCTTTTCTTAAAACTTATATGCCGCAGGCTATTTGTAACGCCTATAAAGCAACAGGAATTTGGCCATTTGACCTACATGCTATTATTCCTAACCATTTAGACCCTTCATTATTAACAGAACAATTTGATATATCACCTTTAAATAGTCTACTCAAACTATCTTTATGTATTCAAAATTCTGCTAATTCAAATCATTATCATTTTACTCGATTAAATGTTAACATACTAGAAAAAGAAAATACAAGACTTAAGAATGAAAATGATTCATTGAAGTCCCAAATTTTATCAATAACTGAAGAGTTAAATACTTACAAAAATCCTGGTACATGCTCACTTCGTTTAGCTTTTAAATATCCAGTTTTTCATGTTTCTGCAGAAAGCTTACAAATTATTACAGAAGACCAGCCAGAGTCTGATCTTCCTTCTTCAAAAAAAAATAGAAAAACACTTCCTTTTTTCTGACTTCTTACTAGTGAAGAAAGTTGGTATCAGTTGGAGGAGTTGAACAAGGAAACAGATTAAAAATCTGAAGAAGCAAGGCGAAAAAAAGAAGTCACAGCCCAAAAAAAAGAGGCTGCAGCTCAAAAAAAAGCTAAACAGGAGCTATATTTGGCTTAAAAAACTAAAAAAAGAGCTTAAAAAACTTCTAAAAGTAAAAAGAGTACTAAAAAAAAAAAATAGAGAAGTAAAAAAATTTTTTTTTAATTTATAATTGAAATTCATCAAATTACTCTTTAATCGTAAATCTGCACCTTTTAGATACTGTATGCAAATCGGTGATTTTTATACTAGTTTGATTTGTCTTAACTTTTTTTTTTTATTAGATCTATTCTAAATATGGTTTATATTTATATCTAAAAATATCAAAAGCTTTACGTGGCTTAATAAAAAGTTTACTTGATCACATTGTCAAATTACCTCTATCTATCTTATAATTTGAAAAATAATCTATATTTAGAGAATATAAACCATGTATTTATTTTATAAGTTCTGACTTGGGACCAGGCTATTTTCATACATATCTCTTAATTGGTAGAGATTTGCAGGCAAATTTGTCTGTATAATTACTATAAATATGTCTCTGATTTACTTTTTTAATTATTTAAAATATTTAAATAAAATTTAACATGATAATAT